GGCCTCCCAGAGAGCTAGGATTACAGGCGTGAGCCACCGTGCCGGGCCCTCATCCATTGCTTTTTAACTGTTCATTGTCTTTTCAACATACATCAAGGGGCTCTTGACACATTTTATAATTTTTCATTTCATGTTATCTCTTGGATAGCTTGGCTTGCAGTCTTCTTGGAGGACAAGAAGAGAGTTCTATATTCTCCACTCAACTGGAAGAACAAGGTAATGAGGTCTGAAAAACAACAGCTACAGGAACCAGGGAGGTAGTGCTTATCTCTGAAAGCAAAGAGTCCCATTTGAGATAAGCAGCCAAGTTGTCACTGGTGGACTAGATCCCCTTCCTCAGGAATAAAACAAACTGAGTTTCACTTTGGTAACTGCCATTCAAGATAAACGCTGATTACTTCCTAAGGGACAAACCTGTGTGCAATGGCTTCCTGGAAAATGTGCATTCGATCCCAGTACGTTTCTGGTTCAAAGCCTGAAAGGAAAAAAAAAATGCTCAGTTGTGATCACACGGGTTGTAATTCTCTCTGAGGCCAGTCTTCTGCACCCTGCAGTACTCTTGGCAGACAGGCCCCTTGAACCTAAGCTCTGCTTCTCCACATTACCTGCTTTGGAGAGACTGGCTTCCATTTCAATGACAGGAAAGGAAAGGACAGCTGTGTGTTCACACATCCCTTCCTCCGAGCTATAGCAGGGTCCACAAAGTAATGAGTTCTTAGCAGCCAGTCTCAATATAAGACTCATTCTAATGACTTCCTATGCCAAAAGCTGAATGGACCAGGATATTAAAGTACAATATTACAAAGTAATATTTGTACTTGTACAAAGTACAAAGGCAATATTACAAGCTCCATGTTAGGGGTGGGGAAAATGAGGCAAATAAATATAAAAATACATTTTTGACAAGTAATTGGTTGGGGAGGGGAGCAGAGGAGATGAGTTCCCTCCTCCATTACCCACTTCGTTACTCTGGCCTTGCTCCCTCTGCGAAGCTGCTGCTAAGGACCAAGAGTGGAGTGAGGTGGTGGGAGGCTGGGGCAGGCTGTCACCCGGCAACAGGCAACAGAGCCAGGCTGCTCTCGGATGAGGTGCTGATGCTGGGGCAACAACTGCACAGACATCCCAAAGACCAGGGTGCCTGCCACAGCTCTATTACTCTTTCTGCATTTGGAATTTTCTATCATGGGTGGCTCTCAGGATTCTGGGCAACTAAGGAGCAAAACACCAAAAAAGACTCTGGCTTTAAAAGCAGAAAATACATACATACAGAGCACATCCTTGTCAGATTTTTAAGATTTTGAAGTCCCTGTTATAGAAACTGGTGAGAATGAGAAGAGAAGAGGCACAGACACAAGAAAATAGATTTTTTAGATTCAAGTCCTTATTCTTTTAAGCTAGGACCCTTTCTTTGGCTGTAACCATGGTAACCAACAGAAGACGCTGGTCTTGAAGCTTGGGTTACAACCGGCAGGGAAAACCAATTCGTACAAAAATGTCCTCGATGCCAACCCTGAGGGCAATCCTGTGCTGTTAGTGATGGTGGAAAACCCCAAAAGAGTCTGTGGATGGTGTGAGGGAAGATCTCTCTATCTGCACGATACAATAAAAACAATAGTGCAGGAGCTGCCTGGTCTAAAATTGTTTGACATGAACACAATCATTCGGCATTTCAGGACTGCATAAGTGGTCCTCTCTCAGCCACACCGTGAGGTTAAACGAGAATGTGTGTGTGTAAAGGGGGCTTTGTAGGCTCTATGTATCAGGGACTCTATGGTCTCCAGCAGGGAGGGGCTCTGTAGGGCTCACCTGGAACCCCGACTATCATTTAGAACATTGCATCTATACAAAAATGCCTTCCAAGATGTAAACAAAGAATACGCAGATGGGCCTTTTGGAAGAAAAGCTGTTCGCACCACAAGAGCAGCCCGTCACATGAAAAGCATAGGAACACTTGGCCTACCGCACGTCACCCTCTGGACCAGTTCTCTGCTGCCAATCATGACACAGATTTATAGGGGCATGGAAAAAACGCATCTCCCTTATGTCAGAAGCTATTTCCTTCACGTTTATAATCTCTATATCCGAGAAACTACAGGGCTCCTGATGTATCAGCATCAATGCTAGCTTCTCGTTTTAAACAAGATCACCTGTGAACTCATTGAAAGCTGTGAGGAGCTATTTATATGTTCATTCCCAATGAGCACTTGGGGATAAAAAGCTATGTGCTGTGTGCTGTCCTAAACCTGCCTTCAGGGTTCTAGTGGACTGGGGTTGGGCAGCAGGTCTGGGTTGGCCCTGCGTGCTCTCTTTCTGAGTGACAACCTGTCCCAGAGGGAAGAGCTCTGATTTGGGTCCTCCTGTCCTCCTCCTTTTCTGCTCTGCCTTCCTTAAAGATGTGTGACTTGAGCCATATGCACTGTTCCAGGGGCTGACATGCCACAGCTTTGCACAAAAGGACAGTGTTTCCTATTTTGCTTTCAATGCCTGCCCCCGCCCCCTTTCAGCCTTTTTGCCTGAAACAGCACATGCAAGTCCCCTGTGAGGCTCAAAGCCCCACAGCCCAAACCAGTTAGGCTGGAGCATGAGAAAGGACACTGTGGGAGAACACCATTGCCTCTCATCATTTACAGCATGTTACACCCTCTCCTGCCCACCACTCCAAGCCAAGGCCTTATGATGGCCTTCCTGAGTTGGCAAGGCAGCTCTAGACACTCCCAGTTTAGGAATAAGGAATTCAAGGCCCAGAGACGTTAAGTGATTAGTCTAGGGTTACCCAGCCACTAGATGAAGAACCTGGATTAGAACCCAGATCCTTTTGGCCCCTCATCAAAAGCCTCTCTCTTTTCCCTAGCCCATGGCGATTAGAAACCCTGAGCAGTGTCCTTGGTCGGGGAGGGGGACTTATTCGTTGAGACGGAATCTCTGGGGGGAGTATCTCTTACTATCAAACAGGTGCTCGCTGCCCTCCTTGAGCAAGCAGCTGATGTTGAGCGGGATGAAGAGCTGGGCTCGAAGGGGGTCGCCATACAGGTAACTGGGCAGCGCGAAAGGTCCCTCCAAAACTGGGACCAACAAAAAGCCACAGGAGGTAGCTTTCCGATGCCAACCTTGGACCTGGTGGAAAGTGCAGAAACAAAGAGTGTCATCGCTAAGTTCTTTCAGACAACAGAAAATACTTCCCAAGGAGTGAACTCGCCAAAGCCGCAGCATGCATATCGATTGGCTTGTTCATTTATTCATGTCCTCTGGCTCCAAACCGGTCCTGAACAGGAAAAAGTGCAGTTTAACCTCCTGATGAATATTCAGGGAAACTGTGAGCTAAGCACACAGCTCCTCTTCATAGCTCAAGCTTCTGCAACTTTGGTATTTCTTTTGGAAGGAATAGACTGGAAAGAGCTGAAACCCTTCCCATTCCAGGGGATGTTGAAAGAAGGTCATGGGATATAGGTTAAGTCCTTACAATTTTGTCTTTTATCAGGAATTTAATAAGTCAGCGGCCTTGGGGACACATGTGGCCTTCTGGATCCTTGAGAGCAGCCTTTTGACTGAATCTAAATTTTACAGAACAAATCATTAATAAAGGGTTTTGTTCTGTGAAGTCTGGATTCAGTTGAGGGGCTGCACTTGGGGATCTGGAGGGCCACATGTGGCCTTGAGGCCACAGGTTCCCCAGCCCTCTCAAATAGGAAAACAATCCACTCAGGCTGGCTGAGAGGAACATGACATAGGGCAGGAGATGACTGTGGTGGCCTCTGGCCAAAAGTGATAAGCGCTGACCTAACGGAAGGAGAGCCATTCTCTGGCAAACTCCCAAAAGCTGTCTGCCCGAAGACCAAGAACAGAAGTTACTAGGGCATAAAGACAACCCTCCCAACAGTAATATTTTCCTGGGGAGCAGTGGCCATTTTCTAGTTCTTGAGATAAATTGAAAGAGACCACTCTTATCTTTTTTTCCAGGAACACTCATAATAACAAGCCAAGATCTCTGACCAGAATAATCCCTAAGGCTTGGTCAACAACCTTTTAATTTTATGTACTAGTTAACTTAATAAAATCTGATTTATAACAAATATGGACATTGCCTTAAAATAATAAATTAACTTATACTACAGTTTTAAAAAGCTTAAAAAAGTAATGATAAAGGGATTAGCAGCTTTTAGTGGGTTTTACATAAATAGACGTGAAAAGTATACTTTTTAAAGACAGTTGTTAAATTCCTTTGAGGAAATAAACACCCTTCCTCCTGCCCCACTGTGACAATACACATGTCTATGAATGCTGTGGTTGTGTTGTTTTGCGATATGGTTATCTGGTAGGGCCTGTAAGGAGAACACTTAAGCCTATTGGGTCAGAGGGTTAGTTTTGCCTGAAGGATGTGGTCATCCCCAGTGTCAAGCAGCTGGGGAAGAGCTAGTGTCCTCTAAGAGCTGAGCAGGACAAGCAGTGGGCTGTCTTTTTTGATTTGGACCTTAAAGATGTTCCCCAGATGAGAGTCCTCTCAAAGGAGGGGTCCTTGAAGATGCTAATGCCATGCGGAGGCAGGCAGAGACCCGGACAAATCTCCTCCCCAGGATACCATGTCTTGTGGGACAAGACTGAGCCTATGAACTGTGGACACAAACAGTTGCCAGCCCAGGCTGTGCTGATTTCTCTTTGGTCATCTCCCAGCTTTTAGTCAACTCTTTTTGAACTTTCCAGCTGCTCTCAGCTGTGCGATGAGATGCTTGGGCTGGTGTTGGAGGGGAGCAGGATTCAGGTGAAGCTACAGAAGAATATTCTTTTGGGCCATATTGGAGAGTGTATAAAAGGAGTAGCAGACTATAAAGATGGTTAAGGAGAGCTTCTAGAAGATACTGACAGCATGGTAAGGAGTGGGCACAGAGACTGGGGATAGGGGTGGCTTCTTAGTGCAGGAACAGTGAACGGCCTGATTAGAGAGGTGAGCCAGGACGTACCAGGAGGAGCAAGGATAGGCAGGGAGTCCAGTTAAAACAGGGCTTCTCACCCTTAGCACTTGTGCCATCTTGGGCTGGTTAATTCTTTGTTGTGGGGGCCTGTCCTGTGCACTACAGGGTGATGAGCAGCATCCCTGGTCTCTAACCACTTGATGCCAGCAGGACCCTCACCACCCTCCATTTGTGACAAGCAAAAATGTCTCCAGATATTGCCAAATGCTCCTGGGCAGCAAAATCACCCCTGGTTGACAATTGCTGAGTTTAAAGCAGTGATGTTCATTAACAGGGGATTGAGGCCGGGTGCGGTGTCTCACGCCTGTAATCCTAGCTCTCTGGGAGGCCGAGGCGGGCGGATTGTTTGAGCTCAGGAATTTGAAACCAGCCTGAGCAAGAGCGAGACCCTGTCTCTACTAAAATTAGAAAGAAATTAATTGGACAACTAAAAATATATAGAAAAAATTAGCTGGGCATGGTGGCGCATGCCTGTAGTCCCAGCTACTCAGGAGGCTGAGGCAGGAGGATCGTTTGAGCCCAGGAGTTTGAGGTTGCTGTGAGCTAGGATGATGCCACGGCACTTTAGCCCAGGCAACACAGTGAGACTCTGTCTCAAAAAAAAAAACAAAACAAAACAAAAAAAAATAGGGGATTGGCTAACTATAGCACAAATAAATAACAGAATATTCTGCAGCCCTTAAAAATAATGAGGCAAAACAAAAACAAAAAATCTATAACAACCAAAAATAAAAAACAACCAAGGCAGATTTATTTCCATGTACTGACACAAAAGACATACAGGTAACAGGAAAAATGCAATGTAAACAGTTTGTATCCCATGCTACCATCTCTGTTGCCGGGGGGTGGGGGGAAATAACATGGTTTTGTATGCATTATATGCATAGAATCTCTCTGGAAGTTTACTTGATAGAGTGGTAGTTGCTTTTAGAAAGTCCCAGGGATCGAGGGTGGGAGAGACTTATTTTTCACTCTAGACCAGTGATTCTCAACAGGAAGCAATACTCCCCCTCCCTGGGGACATGTGGCTATATCTGGAGACATTTTTGGTTACCACAACTGGGGGGTATGCTACTGGCATTTACTGGGTAAAGGTCAGGGATGCTGCTCAATGTCCTATAGTGTGCATGACAGCCCCCCCTACAACAGAGAATTATCTGGCCCCAAATGTCAGTAGTGCCACAGCTGAGAAACCTTGCTCTTACCCTTTTTGACCATTTGAATTTTTTAGCATGTTGAAATTTTTTTTTTTTTTAGAGACAAGGTCTCACTCTATTGCCCAGGCTGAAGTACAGTGGCACAATTATAGCTCACTGTAACCTTGAACTCCTAGGTTCAAGTGATCCTCCTTCCTCAGCCTCCCAAGTTGCTAGGACTACAGGTGTGCACCACCACACCCAGCTAATTTTTTTAAAAAAATTTTTTGTAGAGATGGGGTCTTGCTATGTTGCCCAGGCTGGTCTTGAACTCAAGTGATCCCTCCCACCTCAGCCTCCCAAAGTGCTAGGATTACAGGCGTGAGCCATGGTACCTGGCCTGTTTACATTGCTTTAAAAGACTATTCCAATAGACCAGCTGAATGGTAATAGGAGCCTGATCTAAAAAACAAAAGTAACATGAATCTCTAGCGAGCATTCCCCATTCCCCTCTGCGAGGTGAGCCAAAGGTGCCACCACACGCATGAAGGTTCTCACCATCTCAAAGAGTACTGCAGCGGTCACTGCCATCCAGTGCAGCTTGATCTCGAAGGCTGCATTCAGGGAGAAGTTGCCGTGGTAATAACAGCTGCACCACTCCAGCCGGTCTGTGCGGTTGTTCACATCAACGTCCAGGGTCACAGTCCTCTGCTCTGGGACAGTGGCAGCTAGGTCAGCACCGCAGGAAGAGCCCCAAGAGAGGGAAAAGGAGAAGTGGGATGAACAGGAAGAACAAAAAACTAAGCATCCAGATATGAAACTGTAGAAGTGACTTCTAAAAAAATCACAGATTTTAGACGTTTCCTGGCAATCATCGAGTCCAGGGATCGGCAAACTTTTTCTGTAAAGGGCCAGGTAAATAATTTAGGTTTTGTGGGCCATATAGCTTCTATCATAACTATTTAACTCTGTCATTATAGTGCAAAAGCAGCCGCAGGTATTACCTAATGCATGGGCTCATCTGTGTCCCAGTGAAACTTCATTTACAAAAACAGATGGATTTTTAGGGCAGTGAAACTATTCTGTATGACTATTAATATGTCACCACACATTTGTCCAAACCCACAGAATGTACAGCACCAAGAGTGAACCCTAATGTAAACCATGGACTTCGGGTGATAATGATGTGTCGATGTAGGTTCGTGGATTATAACAAATGTACCATTTCGGCAGGGGATGCTGGTAGTGGGGGAGGCTGGGTGTGGGGGGGTCAGGGGATATATGGGAATTTTTTGCTTAATTTTAACTATGAACCCAATCTGCTCTAAAAAAATAAAGTCAATTATAAAACAAACAAACAAACAAATGGTAGGCTAAGCTGTAGTTTGTCTCCCCCAGTCTAATCCAACCCCTTCATTTACAGAGGAGAAAACGACAGCCCAGGGAGAGGAGATGCCTTGCCGAAGATCATAGACCCAGAATCCTCAGCCGGGCTGAACCCTAGATCTTTTGACGTCAGCGGCCTACAGAGGACACAATAGGGCAAACAGCCCAGACAACAGTGAGAAGGAAGTCTTGCTTTCTGGTTCTAACCTGAGAAGGCAACAGTTCCATAATTTTCATTTTCTCAAAAAAAAAAAAATGAAACCTCACAATGAAGCTTAATACCTTGTTCCATTATTGATGTGTCACTCGAGGACTCTGGGTGAGCATCATGCTTGCTCATCCTATTAATATTTCGGACCCCTGCTCAGAAATCTTACTCAAACCAAGATAGGGATATTTTAGAGATGTATCAGATAATCAAGTTCCTGACCAGAATAAAGACCTGAAATGGGCTCAGAAGTAAAGAAAAGGTCAGGGCTGTGCTCTGCCCAGCTAGGCATTGCCAGACCTATGGTTTCTATAAACTATTATTCCCCGTCCCCCGTGAATTAAATGGTTTTTCTTTATCTGAAGCAGTCAGCTTAGTTCTGGGTTCTGCAGGTAGAAGCCCTCAGCGGCTTTTATCACTGACAAGGATAAACAGCTCTTGAGTCAGCAATTTTAATGAGCTACTGTTGGGAGGCAGGGGAGCTAAGCCAGGTCACTGATGGCACTTGGGCAAACTGATATTCAGCTGCCAGGTATACCACTTAGCACTCTCTCAAAACGAGAACATGTAAATAGGAAAAGTTCTTGACTTGGAGTCAGAAGATCTAAGCCCTCCCATTTACTAGTTGTGTCTCTCTGAGAACATGCTTCACCTCTCCTGGTTTAGTTCCTTGACTGCAAACTGAGATGTCCCAGGCCAGCTGCTTCACAGAGAAAGGATAAGGATCAAGCGAAACACAGATGACAAAGGAGTAGAGAAGGGAGTGAAGATTCCCTCCTTCACCTTCTCCTCTACCTACCTCACTTATACCTCTCCTCCTTTCCTTCTGTTCCTGTTATTCTTTTCTCCCAATTTAAGCCATGAGCTCACCAATGCTCAATGCAAGGCCTGTCCATGACTCCCCCGGACACTGCTTGGGCTGTCTGTGATACTTAAGGCTAAAGAATTTGGTTGTTCTCATCAAAACTAGATTCTGTCTCTGCTTCATGCTCCTGATTTATGACACTGCCAGAACAACCCTTTACTTTAACAGCCCAAACCAAAGACAGTAAATTTTGCTCTCTAATCTTAGACACTGTGTATTTCTCCCCAGGGGAAAAGCCCATGTCACAAAAACAAGGATACTCAATAAACACCAGCAGCGACCTCGTACATCTCTTCTCTCCCATCTGGCGTGTTAAGTTCTGAATAGGCCGGTCTGAGGAAGCCCAAGGAACTACACTGCTTAGCCAAGTGGTTACAGGCTCAAGATACCACTGGCATTGTACTTCAGGGGTTAGATTTGACAGAACAGATGCTTCTAGCAGGATTACAATGTTGAAAAAGGTGTGGGCCCAGCTGAGTTGCAGCTTTCCGTGAGTTCAGTGAATTATTACTTGAGTTCCATGAGAATCAATTTATTCACCCTGGGGACAGAGAGATACAGCAAGCCCAGAGGAGGAGAAGTCTGAGTTCCCTTCACCCAGGTCCTAGGTAGGGGGTATTAACAACCTGGGGAGCGAATCAGTGTTAGGAGAAAGAACGCAATCCTAAGAAGGGGACCGACACTCTACGTGATAACCAGAACTGCCCAAGAATGGAATGAGCAGTCTCACAGGTGAGTGCTGTGTCAATGGGCGTTTTCAAAGAGAAGCTGGCTCCCCACTTACTAGGAGTGCTATGGGAAACATCCAAGTATCAGGGCTTGGACAGAGATGCTCTATAGTCCCTTCTGAACTTAAGATCCAGTGGGCCATCAAGAAAAGGCTGAGAAGAAGAATGCAATATGGCTCTGGAAACAGTGGCATCCTGGATGCCAGAGATCCAGGATGACAGGGATGGGGAAGTGGGAGCCACCATGGGTGAAGCCAGAGAGGGCCATGTGCCAATGCCAGGCACTTCAAAATAGGTTTCTCCTGTTAATCTCTGATCGAGAATCAGAGTGTTTAAAAAGGAACACGTCAAAACAAACAAAAAGGACAAGTAACAAATGATACAGGCAGGCCTTCCTCCCCATGAGGAAAAGCCCAAACACTGCAGATAGCCTAATTTAAAGACAATAGATTCTTCTCGCTTAAGTAAATAACACAGTATATTCTAACCTGAAAAAAAAATGCTGGGAAGAAACATCTCATTTGCTAACACAAACGTCTGAGAGCTGTTATGGGATAGAATTAGCTGTAATAAGGCCACATTGGGTTTAGAAGGAAAAGAAACTTGTTTCTTTTGGGAAGGGTGATGGGCAAGGAGGCTGACAGAATGAAATTCCTCTATAACAACCATGGGAGCTATTAGAAAGTTAATAAAGGGATGTTTTCCCAGAAAACATGCACACACACAAAATTCTGCCTAGTTTCAGATTCACTGACACCCTAAAGCCTGTACACAGAACCCAGGTGAAGAACACCTATTAAATAAACTACCTGCTGCAGACACAAGTCCAATTCTTCCCTATTCTCCCTTTACTTTTCTATATACTGCTCCTCTTTAAGCTCTAACAACCAATGCTAAACTGACACGATCTGAATCTTGCATTGTGCTAAAGGCTATGAAACTCACGAGAGAGTTTTATCAGCCTGCAGAAGATGACAACTTTGGAAATGAATATGTTTGTATAGAAATTGTCAAGATAGCCTCTAGAACCAAAATGATGATACATAGGTGGCAATACCTAAAGCATTCTCCAGAAGCAGTAATTCTAACCAAGGAGTGAGTGCAAAAAACAGGCTGGGACTGTATACATGCCTCCATGACATGTGGCTTGTCCTTTCCTTGCGTGGGGACTGTGCACATGCCTAGGTGATGGGCAGTTCATCTGTTCCCAGGCTGTTAGCATTTTTAACAGGATGAAGAGCAGAACTACTGCCTTTCTGACACTTGGACAATTAATTGCTTAGAGTCGGAAGGTTTGCTGACTGCAGACCTAATGCTCCAAATTTGATTTTCCCCAATTCTGCCAAACGACATTCATTCATATTTTTTCATACATTCAACAAATATTTATTGAAGCCATGTGTCAGGTACTATTCTAGGTGCTGGGATAGAGTGAGGTGGGAGAAGGAGAACAGAAAGATGGCAAGTTAATCAGTTGTAGGTCCTGGTGGGGACAAAGAGTTGTTGGAGTTGGGACTGGAGGGAGTGTGCTAGAAGGACCAGCGGAGGTGGCAGAGAGGGGAAGAAAAGCCACACTAAGAAAGCTGCGTCTCTGTAGCAAGGGCCTGGGGCCGGAATGTCCTTTCCTTCAACAGTAAGGGCAGGAGTCACCCCTGGACCTGGGATATCATAAAAAGTCCTGACAGGCTTTGACTTTTGTCTTCCTGAGGCTAAAGTGCGGCATGGTTAGAGCTCAGGCTTCAGGGCCAGGCAGTCCTGAGAGTAAACTCCAGCTCCAGCACTTAGTAGATGCAGAGTCTTGGGCAAATGATTAAATACTTCACCTTTCTAAGCATCATAGGCTCCTGAACTCAAAAGCATAAATCACAGTATCTATCACAAGACTCAGATGAAGATTAAATGAGACAATTTTCTGCTTGGTACAGTGCCTGACACATGCATGCCCTAGAAATCATGCCATTAATGTTGTTGTTGGCACCACACCACATCAGGTAGGGATGAAGCGACCACAACCACCAGCGCGGAAAGCACAAGAGTTGCCCAGGGGCCAGGATGGAGCAGAGATCACTTCCTTCTAACACTACAGCTCCAGCGCTGACCATTCATTCTACCCCCAAGCTCTGAAAACATGTCCACATTACACATCAACCTCACACCTCCTTAGGGAGTTACTGATGAGCTTCAAAGCCTCTCAGGTTTTGCTGAGCTCTCTTAATTTTGGCTCCTTATTGGAATCCTTCCTTATAAGACAGTGGTTCTCAACTGGGGGCAATTTTACAACCTCCAGGGGACATGCGGCAATGTCAGGAGACATTATGTCACACTAGGGTGTGCTACTGGCATCCAGGGGGTAGAGACCGGGGATGCTGCTAAACATCCTACAATGCACAGAATAGCCCCCCACAACAAAGAATGATCTGGCTCAAAATGTCTGTACTGCTGAGGTTGAGAAACTCTGCTCTAAGGTTTTCTACACTCTGCAGGAGAAGATTCGTATTAAAATAATTCCTTTTACCAAAGACTTTCAAGAAATGGAAGAATTATAGTTACCTCCCCACCTTGAAAGGACCAAAACTTAAAAGATTTATTTTGCAAAACATTTTGCTAAAATATGTTAGTACACCTGCTGCCATTAGGTGCCCCTAATTCTCTGCTTCTAATCTGGGGTATTAGTGAGGGACCTATAACCAAACTGGTAAGACCTCAGTAAATAGGCTCTATGTGCTGATCCAAGGGTCTTTCACCACAAGGAGGTGACACTTGGATTTGTGGCATTTATTTGGGTTCTTCAGAAACCTTTTTGCTTTTTTCACCTCTCAGGTAAATAAAGTGTCACCATACACGATCCCATATTTATTTAAAGTAACTCACTGTATTTTTGTCTCACAAAATGACCTCAAAGAGAGTGGTAGGGTTGAATTTTCAACTCTCTCTTTAGTATGTATCTGAAATCACCTAGCTTTTGGGCATAGCTTCTTGCTCCTCAGAGAAGATGAAAATCCTTAGCTTTAAAATGTGGCTACTAAAAATAAGCTTGATTTAGTGGGGAAAATGGTGTCAAGCTTAGTTTCTTGACAAGCTTCCCATGTGCAGTCCAATGCTATAAATGAATAACGCTGTACTTATTGAGTTCTTCTGCTTGTTCTATTTGTAATAGATTTTCCTGACTCCACCTTCATTGTTAGAGTATTGCTTTTTGCTTCCCACTGGTATCAGAGTACCCGCCCTTTTATTTGCTGTTTCTAGTAGGCCCTTCGTGGCATAAAATGCACGAGCTTGCTGCTCGCTATTCCAGGTGCTCCAAGGTCTTTGGTCTCAAGCCCTTGGTGGTGTTCTAGGTGGTTTAGGCTGCTGGAAGTGAGCACCCCAGGATACCAGGGAGTATGTGGTTTCCAAGACCTCAAGGAGGTAGAGAGTTAGAAATGCAACAAAAGAGAGAAGGGTAAGTCACAACTGCCTGGGTGAAAGGAGGAAGAGCTGCCCTTTTCACGGTTCCACCCCTCCACTTCTCACATACCGCGCTAGGTGACACTGGAGTGAAGGTATAAGGGGAGGTCACAGCCACACCCAGGGCCAAGTGAATCTGAGGCTCTGGAAACTGTAATGACTATTAACATTTTCATCTACCAACTAGATAAGAATTCCAGTTAGCTGGGCATTTATATAGGCAAATGAAGCAGAATTTGGAATTTCACTGGAGTTTGGTCTACATTATGTTTGTTTCCTTCCCGCCAGAGGTTTTTTGGGGTCTCTCTAACCTGCCCTTGAGATAAATCCCATGGTGCTTTGCCCATGGACTGTATTTTCTAAAGACACTCACATTTCAACCCATCAGTCCTCCAGGGTCCCCCAGGGTAGACTTCCCCGTTTCCTATCAGAGGTCACACCATCTTTCAACAAGCAGGTATTCATCCCATCTTAGAGCTTAGAACCGTGGAAAGGACAGGAAGAGTTCCAGTTTACAACCCTTGACATGGTAAGCACATTGGGAAGGGAGGGAGGAGGGGAGGTTTCTGCCCAGCATGAATGTCTGGAATGGATGACCTTTTAGGTTCCTTCATCTTCTGAGATCCTAAGACGCTATAGTTCTAAGAAAGGCCTCTGGCAGGAACTAAATATCTGCAATGGGCACCAGCTCACATCCCCTGTATCCCAAGGGCCTCTTGGGAAAAGTGGCCACAATTTTTTCTTTCCTCTCCGAGCAGTTTTGGCATCGTGCTCTGACGTGAGAGGTGCTAAATACTATTGGTTGGGATAATAATGAAGCCACTCGGCCAGTGGAAGTTCGCACAGGAGCCCACAGTGCTGACAGCCACAGTGGCTCTAATCCCGGTTCATGCGGTCTCATTCCCTTGGCTGGCTGCCACCCTCCCGCAGCCACCCACCAGCATATCCCCAGACCTTGTCCAGATCAGGCATCTACCTAACAGCGCGGCTGCCTGGCTCCGTCCTCCAAAACTGCGGCTGAAGGAGCTGTGCCTGCTTGCATAGGAGGCTGGCCGGCTAGGCAGCCAGGGCAGAAGGAAGGCAGGAATCTCGGAGTGCAGGAGCTCTTCTGCCACAAAGGCTACCTCAAACCACTTACGCTGGAAGCTGGCGAAGTCGTCTACCCCTGCTGTGTGCCAGGAGGCGGCAGGCTGCTGCATGGCCACTGGGAAAGGCAGAGGGGAGAGAAGGAGTCCTCAGCACAAATGCCTTTTCTCTTACTGATGTATGTCACAACATGATAAGCCTTGAAAACATACGTGAAGTAAAGGGAGCCAGACACAAAAGGCCACAAAGCATATGATTCCATTTATATGAAAAGCCCCGAATAGGCAAATCTTTGAGACAGAAAGCACATTAGTGGATGTGGGGGCAGGAAGAGAAGGAGCTGGGAGGCGACTGCTAATGGATATAGGGTTTCTTTTTGGGGTGATGGAAATGGTCTGGAACCAGATCGAGGTGATGGCTGGTGAATGTACTAATTGCCTCTATTCATTTTCAAGTGGTTAATTTTATGTTATAGGAACTTTACTTCAATTTAAAAAAACATTTTATCCTTAGTTTCACATCTTTCATTTGAGAGTATATAACAGTAACCTGGTATTTTTCAGCTGGAAGGTAAAATAGGTATCTACCAGTCAAACTCAGAATTTAAGGGAAAAAGTGTTGATGGACATACTAATGGCTACGGGGAAAAAAAAAACCCACACAGGTGCACTTTCAACATGTCCTTAGACAGAGAGCACAGTGAGTGGCACTAGCTGCTTCGTCTCAGATATGATTGCTTAAACCCAGAGATGGAGAAGCCATTTGCCTACAGAATGTGTGTCACTTCCGGCCAAGGTCCCCACGTGCTCTGGGTGCACTACAGACACTGGTCTGAATCCTGGGTGCCTCCAGAGTTATGCGAGCCAGCTCTGACCATGCTAGAAATTGTTCCCCTCTGGGAATTACTTTTTCTCATTTTTTTAAAGAAAACAATACCTAAAATATGTCTGGGAAAACTTGCTAGGACGTGATAGTCTTCCAGGGGAAAGGAATGGAGTCTGGAGACCCAGCAAGTGAAAACTGCTATTAATCACAGATTGGAGCCGCTGGTGTTATAACCAGAACCACCTGCACGGAGTGGGGGTGGAAGTGAGGGCTGGGGTGCTATAATTAAACACAGCTACCAAAAAAATGACTCGTGGGAATTTCCTCACACTAGGTCTCTTGGCCTCTTTGGGGTTTATCTTCCATCCACAGTGTCCTCACCAGGCACATACCGTAGAGCTTGAGAAACCTTTGTCACTCTGGCTATGCTTAAATTAAACACAAATGTTCAAGGAAGTTGACAGCTCTGACAACTTGGAACACAAAGTCACACATGGAGCTCAAGAAGCACTGTCATGGGAAAGAGCAAGTCGCCAAGAAAAACGTCCACCCCCGTGGGCAACCGCATGCGCCTCGGCTCTGACCTCGGTCTGGCTCTTTGTCCACTACTATCTTGTAGAAATAGAAGCCATAGATGAAGTTCCGCCAGGCTTCGCCAGATGCGTGTGTGATGAGCTGCTCTTCCAGCATTTTCTAGGAGAGACATTGAAACGCTGAAATTCCTGCAGAGGGACATCTTAAGGGGGCATCCCTCCATCATGCACTGGAGTCAATGGAGCGAAAGGAGCACTAAGGAGACCCTCCCCCCCGATTAGACATGTGCCTCGTGTAAGTTACATTATAAAATGTAGCCTCATATTATGTCATCAAATATTTCAAACATGCAGAAAAGCATAAAGAAAATCCAGGTATACTACTATTCTGCTTTAATAAATTTACCATTTTGTTATACTGACTCAGGATCTTTTTATTTAAAAAAAAATCATATGGACTCTCCCAAGTCCCATTCCTCTTCTTCTCTCCCCCAATATAAATGGTTAGTATAATATTCTCATGCACATTTTTAGCAATTTTATCATACAGACATGTATTGATAGAAAATGAGGTATTCTTATGGAATTTTAAATAAAGAGCATAATACTATACATCACTTTGTAAATTGGTTTTTCAGTCTACATTATGCTTCTGAGACTTATCCATGTTGATACATGTACCTCCAGCTCATTCATTTTAACTGCTATAGTAGCATTTCATTGCTGTTTTTAGAGACAGGGTCTTGCTTTGTTGCCCAGGCTGGAGTGCAATGGAATAATCATAGCTCACTGTAACCTTCAACTCCTGGGATTAAGTGATCCTCCCACCTCAGTCTCCTGAGTAGGTGGAACTACAGGCATGCACCACCACGCCTGGCTAACTTTTTTATTTTTTATAGTGACGGGGTCTTGCTATGTTGACCAGGCTGCTCTCAAACTCCTGGCCTCAAGTGATCCTCCTGCCTCGGCCTCCCAGAGTGCTGGGATTACAGGTGTGAGCCACCACATCCAGCCACATTTCATTGTTTGAATAAGGAAAATAGTATTCTCAGGGAGGTGAGAGTATATAAAGTTACCAGGCAAAGACGAATCAAAACAGCACATCAAGATACTCAAAGAGAGTATTGAGGATCACATGCTTATTCAAATCAGTTACTGATTTTACATTTCTATGATGATAACCCAGCTGGTCAGCAAACAGTATTGATTTATTTCCAGTGGGGGCCTCTGTACAGACAGAACGGTGGGAACTGGCTGAGTCAACTCAATCTTTCCCATTCCTCTCCTCACTATTCCAGTTCTTAACAGTGTAAGTAAATCTGGCAAGTGTGGTACTAAGTGCCTACCACGTACCAAGCAACATGCCAGGCACTAGAATGGATGTTAAGAGGTAGTCCCACCCTCCAGGAGCTGGTTTAGGCAGGAGACAAATGAGATACACAGACAGATTCTTCATTCTGTTGTGTCCAGGGCTCTGACAGAGTAAGTACAGGGTGCCAGAAGGCCCCTGGGGCAGAGCCTTGAATCCAGCTTTGAGTCTTGAATAAAGCAGACACTGACCAGAGGAAATTGGGGGCTTGAGGTCAGAGGGAGAGAATGCTCTGAAAATCTTTCACAGAGATTTCTCCAAGGTTTGTAAGTGCGCAGATCCCATACAGAACATTTCAGTTCAGACAATAAATTCTACCAGATTTTTAAGTCAAGATATAGTGTGTTTTGAAGCAAGACTTTTTCTTTCAATTCCAGACAGGCCTTAAACTTATTAAAAACAGATTCTCACCCCACGTGCAGATCTCATTTCTGGAAAGGGTGACAGCTTCTGAGACAGGGCCTGGTCCCATGGGGGCCTGAGCAGACAGTCTGCAGGCCCTGCCTTGCTGCCTCACCTGCATGATGTCGATGGCCATGGCCTGCGTCTGGACCCCCTCCACGTGGTTCACCAGCCAGTGCACCACCTCGGCACTGATGAAGCAGTACGGTGAGAGGCCCTTCTGTTCAGAGAGCAACTGGACTCCTGTCCTGGGTTCCAACACGGGGAGCAGGGAATGTGTGTGTCCAGTGGCAACAAGCAGAAAAAAGGATGAAAAAGAAGGGATTCCCACTAACACATTTAACATCTGAAATAAAGACCCCCATGAAGCAATTTCTCTATGCTACTTCTGGACCCAGAGAAATAACCATGGCAGGACAGAAGAAGGTGTTACAGGGTGAAAAGGAGGAAGGGGAGGAGAAGGGACTGACATTTAAAGAACGCTAGAACTTGCAGGCATTACATTAGGTCCTTTGCATAATTATTTCATTTAATCCTTACACCAACCCTGTGCCTTAACCACTTTTTTTAAAATCTCATTTTATAAACAAGGTAACAGAGGGTCAGAGAGGTCAAGTCACTTGCCCAAGGTCTCAAAGCTGGTGAGCAGCAGAGTCAGGTATGAATCCGCCAAACCACACTGCCAGAGCATTGCCATGACAGGGGCCCTTGGAAGCCTCCTGATCCTACGCTCACATATGGGACGAGCTACTTACGAGGGGTGCTTCATGGCTTCTAGGATCTCCGTCAGGGTGGAGGATGACGTCAGGGAGCTTGCTGCCGGCTGCTGAGAGCTGTGATACAGAGCGTCTGGTCAGCAAAGCAAGAGGACACACACACAGTTGGGAGCACGAATATCGGAATACTCTACTTCTTACAGAGCAGGAAACCAGGACAATGTTGACACCGAAGGCATTCAAGCGAATTCTGGACAGCTACATCCTGGGGATATCTCACAGGGGGTTTTCTACTTCTAAAGTGTACACATTAAAAAAATAAAAATAATTCAAAGTAGTTTTGTATCTGAACTTACCCTTAGTGAGTATCTCCCCTTTAAATGGCCCACCTGTTTCCAAGAAATCTCCCTGGACTTCTCTGGTTTTTCCCCAAGGGCCTCTCCCAAGTAGCTTCATTTACTCTTTTCTTTTTTTGAGACAGAGTCTCACTCTCTTGCCTGGGCTAGAGTGCTGTGGCATCATCCTAGCTCACAGCAACCTCAAATTCCTGGGTTCAAGTGATCCTCCTGCCTCAGCCTCCCAAGTAACTGGGACTACAGACACGCGCCACCATGCCCAGCTAATTTTTTCTATTTTTAGTTGTTTGGCCAATTTCTTTCTATTTTTAGTAGAGATGGGGTCTCGCTCTTGCTCAGGCTGGTCTCGAACTCCTGAGCTCAAGCAATCCTCCTGTCTCGGCCTCCCAGAGTGCTAGGATTACAGGCATGAGCCACCGTGCCTGGCCCATTTCATTTATTCTTGACCAGAGAGTGTGAGGTAATACAGTAAGAGCACAGGGGACAGAATCCCAGTGTCATCGTTACCTAGCCATAGGGCCTCTAGCTTTTCTTGGCCTGAAAGATGCGGATGATGCTATTCCTCTCTTTCAGGGTTGTTGTGAGGCTAATGTTTCTATAATACTGAGCTTAAGATCGATATCCACGAAACCGCAAATGGTAAACAATACTAAACATAACAACGAATAACATCAACCCTCTGAAACTCAGATTGGTTAAAGGAACTGGTGAAGGTCAAACAGCCAGGAAATGTCAGGATCTGGATTTGAATCCAGGTCAGCCTCACTCCAAAGCCCAGATCTTGCCATCCACCTGGCCAAGCTCTTCCTCAATGGTGTGATAGTCCCTTAAAACAAGCTTAATCCTCAGCAGGTGAGTGGCCACCCACCATACCAAACTGGGCCAGTTCTGGGGTTTATCTGGAAGCTCCTCAAGTTCTTTAAACCATTCTCTTTTCTCAGCCCTGGATTTCTCTTCCTGTCTGGAGGGTCCAGGACTCAACTGTAGCATTTCAGAATCTCAGGATTAGAAAAAGCCTTGAGGCTGAGCACGGTGGTTCATGCCTGTAATCTTAGCACTCTGGGAGGCCGAGGCAGGAGGATTGCTTGAGGTCAGGAGTTCGAGACCAGCCTGAGCAAGAGCGAGACCCCGTCTCTACTAAAAATAGAAAAAATTAGCCAGTCAACTATTTAATTATAAAAAAAAAAAAAAGAAAGAAAAAGACGTTAAAGACCCTTGAAGTGATTTTCCTTCCAGTCCAGGGAGATATCTGTGTGGACATCTTCAATGGCAGAGAACTCAGCTCCTCTAAATGCAGTCACCTACTTTTATTTATTTATTTATTTTTGAGACAGAGTCTGACTCTGTGGCCCAGGCTAGAGTGCTGTGGTGTCAGCCTAGCTTACAGCAACCTCAAACTCCTGTGCTCGAGTGATTCTCTCGCCTCGGACTCCCAGGGTGCTAGGATTACAGGAGAGAGCCACCATGCCCGGCCAACACAGCCCCTTTTCATGCAGCAGTACCTAGACCCAGTAAGTTCTTTATTATGAATTGGAATCTGTTCTCTGTAATTTTTTTAGTCACTGGTCCTTATTCTATCTGCCAAGTTATTTTTGATCTTCTCACTTCCGGCCTAAACATCCCTGGTTTCTCTTTTCCCCCAAAAGCAGAAGAAAACCTGCTGTTCTACCCTTGTAAGCAACGAGGAAGCAGATAAATGCACTCCTGTCCTGTGCACTGGGCATCCTCTCCAATCTGCTCCACAGCCAGAGCCAAAAAGCCAGCCAGGCTTGATGGGGATATGGGCCTGAGAGAAGACGAGAGTGGAGCAGTCCAGGCCTGCTCCTGCTTCTGAACTGATTGTCACCTCTCCTGGCCAGAACAAATAAGCTGCGGCGGATGAGGCACAGGTAAAACCAGCACAGAATTTATGACATAAAGGTGACTCCTGACAGAGGCCAGTCAGGTGAGCAGCCCCAGAGAACCTTCTGCTCCCAGGGAAAGGGGTGCAAAAGTCAAATTTCTTAGATCATTTAGCCAAGGGCTGCTCAGTCAGTAGAGTAAAGCAACAAGAACAGATTGGGCAGAATTATTCTTAAGCAAACACAGCTGGGAAGGAAATAAAAGAGAAGTTTTTCAGAATTGACAATGGCATGAAAAGCTGGTGCACTTGCTCAAGCAAACGAGGTACAGGCAGCTTCTTTTTCCTTCGGATACCAAGGAATAGGAAAAGAACAGCCATGTTCAGCCTCCATTAGTAATTCATTCACTGTTCATTCATCTCCTTACTGACTGCAGGCTATCATGTACAAGGCATCACGCCACCGACACCATGGTGAACAGGACAGACTTGGTCTTGGTCCTCTTCCTGAAGCCCTGTTCTCCTGCACAGTGCCTGACACTTCCCTACATCTCTGTGGAACCTCTTAGCTATCCTGTGAGGAAGGCAAGACACAGATCATTTGCCCCATCACATAGGTGTGGATAAGGACTGACTTGCCCAGAGTCCCACATAATCAGTGGCAGAGTCGGAACTTGGCCCAGAGTTTTGGACTCCCAGCCTCTGCATCCTTTGAGGTTAGATTGCCCCCACTCCCCAGGAGCATGAGTTCAACCATTCTGTGTCTCACCTGTTGTCACTGGAGTTTGCGGAGGAGAAGCCCTGTTCTCCTACGTTCTGGGAATTCCCAAAGGACTGGCTGTTGCCTCTGTCCACAGACTGGCCTGTGCTTACCCCCAAACTGGTGCCATCCAACATCGGAGGGACTGGTTGTTCCACAGACATCTGTAGGAGATTTAAAAATTAATACTTAGATCTAAAAATAACCAACAGGGAAACATAGTAAATAAGCTGTACTGGTTTATCCATTCAACAAGCATTTACAAAAAATAAATCAATAACAACTAATACCAAAAAAAAAATCTTTAATTAATTAAAGCTACCTACATAAATGGTTCTTTCCATTCCTCTCATGCTCAGTCCCCACTGGTCCCTGATGGAAGAGCTAAAGGAGTCCAGACTATACCCACTCAGGCGTACGCTGTCTTCTATCAGAGCAACTGGGAATTCCCACCCTCCAAACCAAGGCAGATAAGAGGTCACCACTCACAGTAAATCCCCAGGACCAAAGAAATCACTTCAGCATTGGACTCAAACCACAAGATTTACACTAAAGAAAAATCTCCATAGAAAGAGCAGAGAAGTCAGAATCATTCCTTATGTGACTGGGAGGAGGAGAGGGAGAACACATGTGCAGACAAATGGGTGAACAACACAAGGGGCATCCTCTCTCTACCATGACATACCTTTCCCACCTTAATCCTCCTTTCCTGTACCTGTCAGTGGTACAGTCTTCCAAATGCCCAGGGTTGAGCCTCAGAGGCATCAGACAGCTCTCCCGCTTCGCATCTAAAGAGAGTCCTAGTCCCGTGGCTGCCGCTCTGCAGATTCACATGCGTCTCTCAGCCATGCCTGTACTTCCTCTGGTCAAGGAGGGCTCTAACGGTCTCCTCACTGGCCTGCAATTGCAGCCTCTCCCCTGAAAACCCTACTTGCAAGCCACCTCCATTCATATCTTCCTAAGGAACAGTTCCAATTCCACCACTCTGTTACTCTGAAATCTTTCAAGTCTCCCCATGAGCTACCACACTAAAAATCAACTCTCAGGGCACTAAGGTCCCATACAACATTACCCTGACCTGTGATCTCACTGCAGTGCCCACCATTCACCTATGGGTACCTTTCCAGCCTTCCAGCCATATCAAACCCTGCAAGTATAATCTATGTGACTTGTTACCCGGGGGTTCTCTTCCCTACAACCACCAGCTAAAAATCCGTCAGTCCTTGAAATACAATGACCACAGGAGGAATCACGAATGCGAGACGCTTCAAGGTAAACGGACCTTCCTAAGAATTGGACCTCCACAGTGATGGGAACTGCTTCTGGAAGCAGCTGTGCCTTTTCTAGCAGCAAGAGGCTCCTAGGACAGCCTAGGCCTGTTAGGAAGCTGTGCAGGAACTCATGGGTGGTTTGGATGGTCTCTGACACCTCACCCAACTCTGAAAGTTGAGGACTACAGACAAAGTAGACACTCAGTCCCTGCACCTTGGATTAACTCATTTGACTGGTGTCATGCTTCGTCTGGGTTGATTAGAAATATGTAAGGGATAAAAATACAAAATAAAACTTTAGGCACAGCCTCAATAACAAATGTCCTTCTCATCAATAAGTTCCACCAATGGATCAAAAGACTTAGAGCCAAGATGTGGAAACAACCCAAACATTAACAGATAGATGAATGGACAAACAAAATGTGGTGTATACACACACACACACACACACACACACACAATGGGCTATTATTCAGTATTTAAAAAAAAAAAAAGGAAATTCAGACACATCCTACAACATGATAAAACCTTGAGGACATTATACTAAGTGAAATAAGCCAGATACAAAAGGACAAATACTGTATGATTCCACAGTATGTGAGGTATATGAGGTCCCTAGAGTAGTCGAATTCATAGAGACAGAAAGTAGAATGGCAGTTGCCAGGGCCTGGGGATAGGGGATGGGGAGTTGGTGTTTAACAGGCACAGAGTTTCTGTTTGGGCTGATGAAAAGGTTCTGGAGATAGATGGTGGTGGTGGTGGTCGTGGTTGCACAGCACTGTGGATGTGCTTAATGCCACTGAACTATACACTGAAATGAGGTTGTGCAGAGACAGAAGAGCCCAACATGCTTTGAGTTTAGAGTGGAGAGAATATGGCATCTGCTGGGGAGAGAGAAAGAGGGATTCAGAGACCTTGAGGGCAGTTTTGGACAACGGTCAGAGGTTGGTGGCAGGAGGTACCGTTAACCCCTGATCTGCAGACAAGTGTGCACATCAGTCTGGCAGTTACTTGTGTTATCCTTCAAACTTTTGCCAGGTTGGAGAGACTGATGACATCAGAGGCTTCCAACCTTCCTGATTGGAAGGACCCGACTCCGGGGGTGCCTGGCAGCACAGTGGACAACAGCATCGTCGCAGAGCTTGTCTCCACTCCTGACTTCTCCCCAGTTTGGAGAAGAGATAACAGGCTTGGGTTCAACCAGAGCCCAGAAGAAGGTTTTGGACGGAAGAGGTTCTGGGTTCCACAGAAGAGAAGAAAGAGCTTGGGAGAAATCATGGCCAGCTATCAACTGGACTCTTAGTCTGAGGTCAGAGCCCCCAGCGCAGCACCTCAGGGTACTACCCGCTGGAGGTAGTGGTGGATGACCAATGTCCAAGACCATCAGCCCCTGGGGTAGATCCCAGCTCCCTGCCTTAGTCCCCTGGCTTGAAAAGGAAGAGGGAGTGGTCGTCGGATTCCAAGGATGAGGAATTGGAGGAGGACTGGTGGTCTCTGAGCTTAAGGACATCTGGGTCGTGGAGTTGCCACGTGGGCTCAAGACGAAACTGAAGAAGCAGCGAGTATCATCAGTGCTTCCCGAGCACCATGAGGTCTTCACCAGGATGTTTAAGGATCCTGTCATTAAACAATTCCTGGCCTGGGACAAAAAATCTGAGGATATCTGAAAAAGTAAGGTTGTACTGTTCCAACACATAGCCTTGGACAGGGCAGGGCTTTCTAACCTACAGTTCCACTTCTCTCTCCCTCTGCGTATCTCCAACGGGATGCTCCCACAGTCCTGACCATTTTAGGACTTGTCAACATCTCCCTTCTGGGGCCTGGTGGTCTCCTGCAGAGTGAACGCATGGTCCTGCTGGGGATCCTTTGGCATCTGAGCCCTTGGCATAGTTCTGTTCTGGACATTGCCTCTTTGGTTGTCGCCACCCTGAGCTCCTGGCCTCTCTCCTCTCAACTCTCTGAAACTGCCCTTTGCTGCAGCTCAGTAAAGATCCTCCTAACACCAGCCATCTAAAACACATTCCCTCCAGAGATACCAGCAGAGCTCGCCATCCTGGGAGCATCGTGGACCTCGTTTCCTCTGACTTCTTGGATTTGTAACCGACCTTTAGATACATCCCACAACCCCACCCAAATGAGCATGGTCACCCAACACAGGGGTCTCTTCTTTGAGCAGCAACCCCTGTCCCCATGTTGTTCTTCTTCCACAAGGGACCTCTCTATTACTGCTTTTACTCTCTTTCCATCAGTATCTCCTGTCTATGGTCATAGCCTATTTAGCTGGGCTGGCCTCTTCTCCTGGCAATACCAACAAATTCATTTCTTCATAGCACTCCACCTGGCCAATGACATGGAGGAGGACAACTAGGCCCCTAAACAAGCCATTTTTTCATTCCTCTATGGGAAGAGCCTCTTCCAGCGTCCCCCATTCCCCAAACTGTGGTACCAATTCATCCACTCCATGGGCTGGAGGACTAGAGTTTCCCGGGAAGAATGTGAAGAGATCCAGGCTTATGATCCAGACCTCTGGGCATGGGGCTGAGATGGCACCCTCATTCCCTAGAGCTCCAGGGACTGTGGAGGCCTGAGGCTGTCGGCCTGAGGGAAGATCACTGGGCCCAGGGAAGAAGCAGAACCTGCTTTTCAGCTGTTTCTAATATGCTACAAAGTCTAAACTTTGCATTTTTGTTTTAATTAATATATGTTTTTCATTTCTGGAATTTCTATTTGGCTCTTTTTCAACTATTCTAGATTCATCTTTTTAAAAAAATATATCCTATTCCCTACAGATATTTTTAAGCCTTTCTTTATACATGGTAAATATAGTCGAGTCTGATAATTCCAACATCTGAAGTCCCCTCAGATCTGTTTCTGCTGTCTGCTATTTCCACTGTTTTTACTGGTGCCATTCCCACCAAGAGAGCCCCACAGTGTTCATTTCCCACAATCTCATCAGTTCTGATATTATCCAACTTTAATCTTTGCCAATTGATAGGTGAAATAAATGTTACCTCATTTTTTATTCGTAAAAAAAAAAAAATCCATCAGTCTTGAAGGGCCGTTGCAAACATTGCTTTCTTAGCAAAATGTTTTCCGAGATCCACTCTGCCACAGCCCCCAAGGAGAACCATCTTTCTTTCTACTTTAGACCTTTGTGAACCTCTGCTGGTAGCTGCCAGGTTTTGCCTCACGTAAGGGCATTGTATCTACCTCATTTCCTTTAAGGGTTCTAGAGGCAGAACTACGACTTGCTCACCTGGAGTCCCTGCAGCATCTATCAAAGGTTGCACCTCACAGCAAATATTGGGAGAGAATTACTAAGCCTTCTAGAGAACTTCTGGAAAAGTATAAGGCTCCTAGTCCCTCTTAACTTGAGGTTCTTAGGTACTTCCAGAATAGGGCCTTATGTTATCAGATATTTTGTTAGATGATATAAAAATTGATTTCTAAAACAAGACTTCTCCAACTTGGCACCATTGCCATTTGGGGTCAGATACGTGGATATGTTTGTTGTGGAGAGCTGTCCTGTGCATTGTGGGATGGTGAGCAGCATCCCTGGCTTCCACCCACCAGATGCCAGTAATATCTCACCTGTCATCTCCCTTCCCCAACTTGTGACAAATAAAAATGTCTCCAGATATAACCAAATGTTCCTTGGGGGTGAAACTGCCCCTGGTTCTCATAGAACCATTTTGCTCTCCTGTGGAAGGCTCAATGATTTATAAAAAAAGGGCCACATAGGCTTTGCTGGCACCATAAACACACAAAGAAATGCAGCAAGAAGCAGCTTGCAATTACCAATCACCATCTGTCCCTAACCAGAAAGGCTCAGGAACAGGTAACATGCTCTAAATTTAAATTAGAATAAGCTGAGAGAGTCAAGACCCAGCTCT